AACAAGATGGATTGACACAGTGGCTGCAACAACGGGCTCAAGCATAAAAATTGTGAGCATGGCACAGGACCAGGCAGTGTTTCATTCTGTTGTACACAGGGTCACTATGAGTCAGCACTGACTTGATGGCACCTAACAACAACAACAATAGATAGGTGTTTAATTTTATCAGATGCTTTTTCTACATTCCTTAAAACAATCATACGGTTTTTCTCTTTATTCTGTCAATTGGTGAATTACAGTGATTGATTTTCAAATGTTAACTTTATATTCTTGGGATAAACCCCACTTAATCATAAAGTATTATCCTTCTTATATATTGCTGGATTTGATTCCAAATGTTTCATTATGAACTTTCATATCTATGTTCACTAAAAATATTGGTCTATAATCTTCTTTACTGGCATTACTTTTTACTGGTTTTAGTATTAAGGTAATGCTGGCATCATAAAAAAACTTGAGAAGTGTTCTTTCCTTCATTATTTCCTAAAAGAGCTTGTGAAGTACTGTGTGTTTTTTTTCCTTAAACTTTGACAGACTTCACCAGGGAAGCCATGTGGGTCCAGAGGTTGGTTTGTTTTCTGGGAAGTTTGTGACTACAAATTTAGTTTCTCTAAAGATACAAGATTATTCATATTTCCTATTTCTCCTTATGTTCAATTTTGGTAGTTTTGTCTTTCAAAGAATTTATGAATTTTATCTGAGTTGTCGAATATATTGGAATAAAGTTGCTCATAAGATTATTATCTTTTACTGTCTGTAAGATCTTTAGCAATACCATTTTTTCCTGATATTAGTAATTTGTGTCTTCACTCTTTTTTCTTGATTAGTCTAGCTAAGAGGTTATCATTTTTATTGATCTTTTGAAGAACCAGCTTTTGGTTTCATTGATTTTTTTCTATAGTTTTTCTGTTTTTTTTTTTTTTTTATTGTACTTTAGATGAAAGTTTACAGAATAGTTTCTCATTAAACAGTCAATACACATACTGTTTTATGACATTGGTTAACAACCCCAC